GGCGCTGCATCCCTGCCTAGCAACAATCATCAAGACCCTCTGGCAGACCCCAGCCTCCATCCTGCCAACAGATAAAATGGTGGAGAGGTGCTACTTTGTGCCACAGGAGGGCAATGAGCATCTCTTTTCTCATCCCCTCCCGGGGTCTCTGGTGGTTGGCCAATGGCAGGGCGAAAGGGGCGGGTGTGAGCCAGGGGGTGGGGGTGTGTTTCAGTGGAGATGGTTCTGCTGGGCTGCCCGCAGCCTGAGCCCTGCTGTTGGCTGGGTTTATTGCTTCTCCAGGATACAGCACAGCATAGACATGATGTGGCTACAGGAGTCTGGGCCAGGATGCCTCAGACCCCTTGAGGTGGGGTGCCTGGGCCCCTAGACTCCCAGCCCCCTCCTTAGTCTGTTTCCTTCATGGTTCCAGCAAAAAACTGCCCCTTCCCCCAACACTCACATTCTTTGTTCCGTCCCTTCCCTTAACTGGTAGGACCAGTTCGGGCACTGTCATGGGGGCCCTCAAGGTGCCCCCCGCTGGGCGGTGCTTACAGACAGAGGCCAGTAGGGGTCATCCACAGCCCAAGCACAGCAACCAGCAAGGTACTGACACTACATCACAACATGTGGGTGAGTCAGTGGGCAACACACATCACAGCACAGGGGGGCACTGGGTTACAGAGCAGACCACACCCCCACTACGTCCCCTACCCCCAGCCTGGGGGCTTCAGAGAGGGGTTCAGAGTTGGCATTCTCTTAGTGACAAGGGCACCAGGCAGAGATTGAGGAGAGCCAGCTTCTGGTCCTGGCTCCAGCCCGCAGGGCAATGGCCATCTTGGAGAAGGCATGTCACAGCTCTGTGCCTCAGTTTCCCCATCAGGGAGATGCTGGTCTCCTTTGGGAAGTGCTTTGAGATCTGCAGCCAGCAAGTGCTGGATAAAAACCAGGTGTTATTACATTAATGCAGAGCTTTTATCCTGCAGCGGCCAAAGGCTTTACGCACACTACACATACCAGGCCAGATCCTGACTCCCACGACACAGGGTATAAACTGGTCCTTTGTTCTTCTGGTGGCTTATCCTTGCCGCCCCCTGCCAAACTAACACCAAACTGCCCCCGCCCTGGCAGACTGCACCGTGTCAGGATTGGTCAAGCAACTGAGAATTTTTGCATCGGTTTCTCCAAAGTCGCTGCAGCAGACAAGGTGTGATATTGATTCATTCTAATGCGAGCAGCCAGTGTAACCTTGTTTGCTCAGAGACGGTATAATTTGGAGATTATGCTTTAATGAACAGATGATGTATGTTTCAATATACAGAACAAGAAAAGTAATGGAAATTTCAGACAGGTAAATAGAAAGCATAATTCTTGACTGATGTTAACTGATCCCAACTCCCCCAGCCAAACACCAAGCTGCCGTGGTAATAAACCTCTTGCCTTAGAATTCATCCTTGAAAAAGGAGGAAAGACAGCGAGACCCCCCCTCTGCCCCATGGCTGCTGCAGGAAGGACTTGCCTCTGGCCTGCCCTTATTTTAGCACTCTCACACTGACATGGAGGTGGTGTACTCGGTGATGTTCAGCCGGCCGGGAAAAGTGGGCATGGGGGTCAGGAAGGCGAGGTGGTGTGTATCATCTCTTAGCGCCCTCTAGTGGTTCCAGGGCACAGCTGTAAGCTGCAGTGGCAGGGGAGGCTGTGGGCCTTCCAAAGCTGCAGAAAGGATCTGTAGTAGAGAGACAGGCAGGGCCATGGCATGCGTTAGCTGTGGGAGCCAGCTTGCACTTGGTGCTGGATTGGTGCAGGAAATCTAGAGAGATTCTGCTGCTCTGAGTTTGCTCCTCTGCAACAGCTGGTCCTGGCTTTTCCTTAATGAAGGGAAAGGGCAGAAGGAGGAGAGGGCACAGAGACGGCTTCTCTGCCCCAACACCAGGGCTGCTGGCAATATGGAGTGAGAGGAGCCGGCAGCTGATGCTAGCAGAGGCCCTG